ATTTTCATTACTAAAAGTACGAGCACCTCAACATTAAAAGAAGAAAAATGAGTTGGGAAGATGATTTTCTTTATTAAAAGTACGAGCACCTCAACATTAAAAGAAGAAAAATGAGTTGGGAAGATGATGTTCTTTATTAAAAGTACGAGCACCTCAACATTAAGAGAATAAAATTGAGTTGAAAATTTGATTTTCTTTACTAAAAGTGGGGGGGGGGCGTCAGGCTGTCGAAAAATCCGCGCGGAGAGACAAACCTTAAGCTGAAACCAAGACAAACTATACTAACCAAGACAATCCACAAAACACGCCGGCAGGCCGGCGGATTAATCAAGAGATATCAAGAGTCTAAGTCTACATATTAGCAGTTTCAGTGAAAGTAGATCTTTGCGTAGGCTTTTGACAGCTGTTGTATACTGCAAGGCTGCCTCCATCCAACCACAGATATGTCAAGCTCTACTCACTGGCACCTCAAAGAAATCCAAGCCTCAAAGGTATCCACATCGCGAACGTGCAGAGGCTGACGTGCTGGGTGGGATGAAGTCGGAAATTGCAAGATGAGAGATCTAAGAGAACAACCATCAACCAAACATTACTACTAGTCGCAAGACTAGCTTCTTGCTACTAGCTCTCTCTCTCTATATACATACCCACACCTTTGGGAGATTCACCAAGAAACTGCAGCAGGACTCGTTGCTGGCCAAGGGGCGTTGGACAGAGACGTGCTCGTTTCACTTCTCGTTTCTTCTGGTCAATCTGGGCTTCGCACTTCTCCTCGCCTTCTCCATTCATATCGGACCTCTTAGTGACTTCTAACCCCAGACACTCCATGGGACTGCCATATATGATATGCCTACATTGGGGTGGTTTGAGGGGTCAATGGGGCGGCATATATGGCAGTCCCATTAGTCGTGTTTGAGAACTATCTCCTGCTACCCCGCGTGAGCGGGCGTTCGCTGAACGGCAACTCCTCAAGCTGAGGCACTTCGCTTTTGGCGGAAGCCCGGTCCTCAAAGTGAATTTCTTCTCCCCAGCCAGTATCTAGGCAACCCATAGCCCACCTTTACCGGCCACACGTCTATACAACACCATACAAAACCAACGTTCGGACGTGGCGTCTTCAAATCAAACATACATATAAATTGGTCTGGCACGGGTGGTTCCTTTCCCCCCGAACCCCGCACAGCGAACAATTCCCGCGGGTGTATGGTCGTTTTCAACCACCACCGGCAGGACACTCCGAACGGTCGCAGGTCCTGCTGATCTCCGCGGCTGAGACCTTGAGAGACGCCATGGCACTCTTCGATCCAGACCTCGGCAGCGCGTCGGCAGCGCTTCAGATCGGTGTTTGGGACGATTGACCAGGCCCTCGGAAGTTTTTTGTTCTTGAAATGGTGCCTTGCTTGGTGAGGGTCACTCAGTTTGAAGAAGGGTGTTCAAAAACATGCTGCAATACAAAGTTGCCTTTCGAGGAGTTACTTAGAGGGTCTAAGTCTAGTAAAATATGAGAAGGCCTGATGATTTTCAGGAACCACGCACCACATCGTCAAAGCTCCCTCTCAAGCAGGTTTGCATCCCATCACGAGACTTTGCCACCAAGGTGACTTCTTTCTTCCAAAGGATCCACGTGCGGTAGGCGGGAGGAGGGTGGGGCCCCCACTCCTCCCTGCTGGTGGGCTTTTGTTGGATCATTGGTGGCAGAAGTTTCAGAAGATTTGTGTAGTGACGTGCAAAAACATCGAGTTTGCAGTACTTTGCACTACCCCTAGGCTTTAGGAGTTGCTGTAGTTCAAGGTTGGCAGATGTTATTCTTGATGTGCTTCGGCGGCATGTGATTGGCAACACTTCAGCCATCCTGCAGTTATATGTGGTTGTGGAATCTACGACATTTTGGCGTGTCCTGTTGAGGACGCCGCTCCAGAATTGAGAACCAGTTGGAGTACTGTAAGGCTCCCTCAATGGCCCCAAACTGGAAAAGGACTCCTGAGGTTTGACGCAGACTTGTTTGGATGGGCGGGTCCGGGTGGGCGCAACTCTTCCAATGATTGAATCTGAATTTGCTGACTCCACATGTGGCTTCGGCTCTTTGTTTGGCTTCCGTTGGGGGCCATAGGATCCATAGCCGCTCACCGTGTTCCATGACGTGCCTATTACGCTTTTCTACCGCATCGCTGACCGGTCCCGCCCTGGTCACACAGCAAAAGTGCAAGCCGGCTGTAGGGTTTGACCATGTTTGGTTTCCTCAGGGTACACGGGTACACTCCATCATCATCGAAGTGGATGGCCTGGCCCCAAACGGATGACCTTTTTTCCGAATACCTAACAGGTGGTTTTCCACTGCGATTCCAGGGACGGAATTCACGCCCAAGCGTTGTTTTTCTCCCACAAAGCCAGCTTTTGCTCCTGTGCCAACTTCAGGTGCCCACGTGCATGATGACGATGAAGACTTCCGTGAGGACCTTTGAACCAGGTTCAGGTTTCCTTTTGTCAATTGTGGAGACCGCGCCAGTGATGCTCACTTTTGAATGGATAGAAGCTGGGAACTGGAGGCCGTTGATGGAAGACATTGATGATAGAGAACGCCAGGGTATCTACAAACTACATGGTTTTGCCGGTGAACGTGTTTCGCGTTGTTCACGAAGATACGTTTTACTTCGGGATCGAGATGGATCGTAAGGACGATGAGCTGGGCAGCGTGAGCGATCAACTGGAGCTGCTGGGACTCTCTTGAATGGGGTGGGATGACGAAGGGCTGGCATGGTAGGTCTCACGATGTTTCACTGCTAGGCACGAACCCCCAGATTTTTCCAGCACCCATCACGGGCAGAATTGCAAGGCCGGGACATCTGGACAGCTCGTGGATGGTGTTGCAAGCACGGGACGCTGCTTGCTTCCCTTTTTCGCTCATCCAGTCATGCTGCTGCAAGCAACCCCAGCGATTGGACCTGATAAGCCCTCATGTCAGTAATTATGTGCCTTTTCAGTGGTCTGCACGAATCATACCTCCTGAACCCAGCTATGCAGACACCGGTGACTTTGATCATTAGCCCTGTCGACTGTGGGCACGCTGATGACTGAAACATGAAGAGACGCAGTATTACACTTGTGGCCACGTTGTGCACAGCCTCACACCTGTTGGAATTTTAAGTTTACATCCTGCATGAGGTATGTCTCTGGAGATATGGTGGCGACCCTGCGCATCCGCGATATTCAGAAGGAACTCATGCGAGCAGCAGCTTGGCGTTCAAGGGGGAGCTGCTCGCATCAGAGCCTTCCGACTTGTAGGCTCCCGCATGTGTGGGCCGACTTGGTGGTGGGGCGCACAGATGTGCACAGGCGCGATATGGCGCGATATCAGGGAAAAATCCGCTCCTCCGATCCATCCATTTGGGATAAGGATTCATCAAAGCATTTGGTGGTTGGAACATCAGAGCCATGGATGTTTTGATCTGGTCGACTAAAGTCACGTCGTTGGCCGAGATGGAGTCGCTGTGCATTTGGGGTGATCGGATGTGATCGGTTCTTTCATTCCGGTATCTGCCCCTTCCAAGAAGGTCGAAACCGAATCTGCTGGGGATGGCTGCCATGGATGTTCCTTGTTTGTCAGGTCCACTGTCTTCGCACACCATCGACTATCACAGCTCCCTCAGGCTACCATCGTCGCATCCGTAGCCTGCACAAACGACCATCTCAGACCACACAACACGACGAGAAGTCGAGGTGAAGTCGAGGCGAAGTCGGCACCACCCATAACATACTAGCGTCCTTGCTCCTAGTAGTAAGGCCAGGAGCCCCGTTCATAGCGTCCTTGCTCTGTTGTGGCTCTATGCATTCCCCTGTTTGGCGGCTCGCCTTTCAGCGGAGGACCACTGCGAGGAGTCCCATGGGCGAAAGAAGCTCCTCATGCGCCTCTCGTCACAGAAGACTGACATGATTCGGGCTCGCCTAGTGACGAACAAATTGACGAAGAAGTGCTAATGCATCAGTAAATGTTATAAATATGAAATATCTATTTGGAAGAGAAAGAGAGAGAGAGAGGGAGAGAAGGTGCTTCTTTGGTGTCACTGTGAGATAATCAGATACGTTGCCTTGAAGGTATACAACTGGAAGTCTGATGAAGCTGGGAAAGTTCTTATATGTTCCGTGCCAAAAGCTGGCGGCTTGAGTTGCCTGGAGAGTGTGACATGTGACGGAACTGCGTCGTATTGGGCTCACGATGCATGACAAGCACACGAACCAGGACTGGTTCGAGAGAATCATCCTGATCAAAACCCTGGACGAGAAGAAGAAGTGCGGCCCGTGTTCCTTGGTCCTTGATGGGTCCAGACAATGAGCAACGTCCCTTCAACCAAGTCGCCAAACGTCCAAGAGTTTCAGTGCTCCAGGACCATGATTGACGTAGACCCCGTTTCCTTGGACATACCGGAGGGCGATCTGATTTGCGCACTGAATCCAGCCGTCGGATGGTTTGCAAGATTTCGGAAGAACATGGCGCAATTTGTCCGCCCAGGTTCGAATACTGCTTGCGGATGCTGCGTTTGTGCAAGGATGCGTAAAACAATTGTGCTTGCCTCCACCTCCAGCTGCGATGCCTAGCTGGTCGCAGGTGGCCGTTGGCTCAGAAGCAAGGTTTGACCATGTTCCGTGGTGTGTTTTGTCACATGAAAGGGTCCCGAGCCGTTGCAAATGTACACATTCCGCACATTCCCAGTCTTGATTGTTTCGCAGCAACATGGGGCAACCCATGGGGCAACCGTTGGGGCAACATCAGATTCACGCCAGATTCTGCGCGAAACCAATGGCCACAGGTTTCGTCTCATCACCGGTTCAGGGTGTACCACCAGCACCCTCCAAAACGTCTCCTTTGTCAGGCCCATTCAGGCCCCAAAAAGGTTTCCATTGGTGAATGTGTTGGAGGGTGCTGGCATATGTTAGCATATGTGACCCATGCAGCGAATTCTAGGGAGCGCTGTTCGCGTTCCTTGAAGCTTGAGGTTGGATGCGACATCGCACATCCAGCCTGATTTGGCACTCCCAACTCATCCAAAAACTCATCATCTTCGAAGATGTTCCGAACTCAGACCCTGGCACCGCTCGGACGCGACCGGGCACCGCGAGCGCCTCGCCGCGTCAGGCGATGTGGGGGCCGAGCTCGGCACACGTCCTCGACCGAGGCGGGGCGGCCGGCGCCGCCTGGTGACTTGAAGAGGGTCCAGTCGGGAGCAAGAGAGGTCAATCAACCCTATGAACTCACAGGCCGAACAGCACATGGATTTAGCCTAATGGACATGATAGTGGACATGATATATATATATATATATATTATACTATATTGTATCTTATATATATATGTATATATTTGTATATGGATGAATGTCCCTCCGAGAAGGTCATCAGTAGATTGGTGGACGATGGCACATGTCCAGTCTCAAAGCTGTGAGAAATTTGCAGAATGTCTTTGGCGGTGGTCCATGGTGTGGAGATGTGTGGCTTCCTGTGACGAAAGAAGCCGCAACTCTGTGTATTTGGTGGAGAGGTGTGGAGAGGTGGCTAGCTTCAAGGGAAGCTATGTTGCCTAAAGGAAGCAATGGCCAAGGCGGCCAAGGTAATCTTAGACTGATGATTGGCTCATCATTTCACTGTGTGTAAGAGGAAATGCAACAGCAACTGTGCTAAGCCTTCTTTTCCCTGTAATTTCCTGTAGCTGAACTTGAATTAAGCATCAATCGCTAGGGGCCTGCTGAGTCAAATTTGCACTTCCTGCAAGGCAACCATTTCATTTCTGATGATCATTGGTGTTCACTATTGTTAATTGCCTAGCCCCATTGAAAGGTCTACCACAGACCACAGATCCACAGACAGCGCAGTGGTCTAGGAGCTGAGAGCAGTGGTTTGCGAGTATTGGCACTCAGAGTGCAAATCGCACGGCCGGCGGGTTCCGCGGAGTGGGTGGCCTCTCTTTGGATCCAATGACTGTAGCATAGAATCACATCCCTGGCCTTCCAAGACCGAAAAAGGTTGACCTGGTGTTGCAGTCCAAAATCCCCAGCAAAGGAATGGTTGATTCGGTAAAGGCTATGATACGTAAATCAAATCAATAGTGGTTGGAGCCTTCCGGCCGCGATGGACGACCAGACTCATGTAGCACGTGAGGGCTTGCGACATTCGGGCGATCCGATGTTCGGAGCTGTAGATGATTTGGCTGGTGAGTACTTCAGGCCGCTATAGCCAAGGTTGGTGGATATTCATATTCCAATTGGAAGAGGATAAGGAACTACAAGGACATCCACAACATTTTGCGAGGTATTGAGGGATGGAAGTTCCACAAGTCCAGATGGGTTTTGGATTGTCCAGAGGTCGCCTCTGCTTCCGGATGAGCAAACTACGATGTAATCAGGCACAGGCTGTTTGAGATTCTGGTCCTTTGCAACTTCTTGGTTCCTCATGGTTCCTCCTTTAGCCTGGGTCTGGGCCTTTCCCGTACTGCCCTACCTTGCATGATTGCAAGTCCATCGCTTCGCAACCAAAACACCGGTCCATGTGGAGAGCCTCACGCTTTCCACAGGTGAAACAAAAAGGGTGATGGTGTGATTGGTGACTCTTTTTGATCCGGTGTTTTGTACCATCGATAGTAGGGGAAAAATAGGTACAAGAGACAGTAGAATCAGTAGAAGGGCAAATTAAGTACCAGCACCCTCCAACAGGTCTCCTTAGGCATGTTATGACCTGGACAAGACTTCCATCTCAGGACCTTTCGTCTCTTCGTGGCTTTTCTCAACGTCGGCACACCTCACGCCGGCGTCTCCAGCTGAGTCGACGTGGGGGGCTGACCGCCCCGATTTTGAGGCGCAGAAGCTGACGTCCGACCTCAAGAAGGTGTGGCCATTCTTTGTGTTTCGTTTGCTGAAGCCAATGACAGAAACGATTGTTTCTCTTGAAATGTCTGTGCGTGTGTTTTTACTTTATATAACGGGGGATTTGGGGGGAGACTAACAACTTTGGGCCGCAGGCATTCAAGCTGAAGTTGTGGGTTCAGTATTGATTTTGTCAGCCATCCCACCAACCATATGTGCAGGTCTAGGGCAAAAGTCATGAAACATCACCAAGAACTTCAGGTCTTGGAAACACGAGGGGGTTATGAGAACTCTGTACTGTATATCTATATAGATGATTATAAAGGTGTTTGCTAAGTCTTGGAAGCATCCTACTACTGAGAACTCTGCAGAGATTTTGACCCAGTTGCACCGGAAGAGTCCAGTGACAATGGGATAAAAGACCTTTGCGGGAGGCACATGGAGACTCACCCTCCCCAATTAGGAACGAACCGTAAAAAATTACAACAAGATCAAGAACTCCTCTTTGAGACGGAGTTGTTTTTCTTAAAGCAGATTCAAGCAACGAAGTGTGTGCTTCTAAGCCTGTGAAACCCTGCCAGGCCGTGGCACAAGCTGAACGAACGAGGACGGTGGGCAGTCCGACCGACGACTGTAGACCGGTGCCAAACAACATGGTATAGGATAGGGCTTCCTTGTCGGGATGCCGACGAATGCAGAATATCACAGGCTGGTGGGTGACTCAGGGACTTAGATCATTCGAGTTTGGGGTTTGTTTTAGGACATGCAGTGGCGCAGGTTCCTTTGTGTGCCTGATATGTGAGCAAACCAATTGGATTGCTGGCACCATGCCATGAAAGGATGCAAACCTTGAGTTGTCCCCACAACCTGGGCCTTTTCCACCAAGCCTTCAAATCTTGTTTTTGGCCGGGCAGCAGTCGGTGTAGCCCATTTTGTCAAGCGATTGACAACTCTCACATTGGTGTTGTGAGTTGCGAGAGCGAATTCGCAGATCTGGGAGATCTGCCAGGATCGACAAAGAGGGTCAGCTGAAACTACTGGAAGTGGAGGACGGGGCCGGACAGGGTGGTGAGGCGGCGCACCGGGGTGGAGTCGGATTTGGTGGATTTGGTGGCTCAAAACAGCCTGATGTGGACATCTACAGTGATGCCAGAGTGGATGGCACTAGCCCCCCAAGATTTTTGTGTCTGTGCTTGTGTGTGTTGTTTCTTTCTTGCAATTAACTAGATATTGGGGTCCAACAGCACACCCGTTCGATGGCCTGATGCCGCATCGAGCGTCGAAGTGCCCCAGGTCACTGGGCCCAGCACCCGGTTTGGATGATTGGATGGCAAACCCAATGCTGGTAAGGGGGTAAGTCTCTACCAGGGCACCCGGATAGGGGTGGTTTTCATGGACACCCCATGACACCCCTCAACCGGGACTATCAATAGAAGCCCCCGGTCCCGGGGGTCCTGGGATGCTTGGAACGGCCAGGCCGCGGCGGAAGAGGCCGAACTGAGTCGGGACTTGGAACAGGCGCGGAGAGGGGACGGCGAACTCGGAGAGGCCCGGATGTGGTTTGTGATGTTGGAAAACTGTTTGAAGGTATGACATATGTATGAATATGTAGGTGAAGATTCCATGACATTGTGTAGATGGGGCGCTCTCTCTCTCTCTCTCTCTCTCCCTCTTCATGTTGAAGCCTAGGACTGCATGATCGCAATGGCTGAGGATTTTCCGTGCAAACCTTATGTTACATTCCCCCAGCGGATCCCGTTGCCACAGGAACCAGCTGCCTGAAATCGAACAACTGCCACTAACTCCCCCAAAAATGCACTCGCTGGGACTGGGATTTGTGCTGGTTGTGCAATTAGGCATGACAACTCCTGGCTTTCTCAGAAGGGCAGCAAGTATATGGGCCTTGGCCCTTGGAGCAAGTATATGTGCCACAGCCCACTGCCGACTGTGCAGGCCAAGGTGAAGCTTCACAAATTAGCACGAAAGCGACAAGAGACGGCGGGGAAGCGGGCGAAACCTGGCGGGCGCTTTCGGGTGGAAACCGAGCCTGAAACAGGGTGGAAACCGAGAGGTGTGGATCGATGTGACTTCCTGTGGCAGGTTTGGAAGACGCTTCCAGGACGTGTAGGACACACATGTACGGTGTGTCCAAATGTAAGGGAACACGTCACAGTCCGTACAAGATTGTAAAGAGCTTCACGGAGAAAGGCCTGCAACTACGCCATCCACTGAAACGTGATAGCGGGATGTACCCAAAGTTCATAATTCGTGCCTTTCCGGATGCTGACAGCTGCTAGCTTGAAGCAGCTGAGGGGAGCTGGAAAGGAAGATAGGCGACCTGGCTACCTCGTACCCCTCAGCTGAAAAGATCGGCTTCCCTTTTTTCCACTTGAGCTGCCAACACCTGGTAGGCCATGCCTGTTATGAACCCCGCCTAAACCAGCCATTTGGGGGTTGTTGTCCTCCCTTTCCTTTGATGTCCAATTTCTGCGCCCACGGAGGGGCCCCTCACGAACAGGTGCAGGTCCACACTTCGAACACATCACATGGTGAAAAACACGTGGATGGCCCCCGCCCTGTTTGTAGAGGAACATCGTGTTTCCAGGAATCAGCCCATCCAAGTAACCATGAAACATGCATGAGTGAGAGGGTAAGCATTGTGACATTTGGACAGGTGTTAGGTCATATGATGTCATATGTGTCGACCCATTCAACCAGAGTTCCGCCGAGTTCCGCAAAGAAACCTCCCTTTGTCGCTGTGGAGCGACAGTCTCAGGAGGGAGTGGGTCAGGAGTGACACCCCAGCAACGGGTCAGAACGGCGGTGGGTCGAGCCCCGAGCCCAAAAAAGCTCTGGTGACCTGGTGACGTTTGGATCCGCAGCCATGTGTCCAATTCGGCACTCCATCATCCATCTTTCGATTCACGATGGCGGAAACCGCTTTCACATGCGAATTCACTGAAACGCAGAAAGACCCGGGATTCTGTTCACAAAGAACGAGAACATCGGCCATCCCAAAGACTTCAGACCACGGCAGACTGCAGAACTCGGCACTCGAACTTCACAACTCAGCTGTTGCTGAGCTGAACAACATTGAGAATGAGCTCCGAGAGATGGACCTTGGTAAACCTTCGAGCTCCGAGAAAATAGACATGAGCATATGATGGAAGAACTTGGCGCCATCCACAGCATGAAGAGGTCATGACCCACCTGAGGATTGAACAGAGCAAAGCATAACAACACATTCATATACTTCCGCAGTTTTCCCCATTCCAGGCAACATCATTCCTTCCATGAATAGTTCCATGAGCCCATGGCCATCACAGGCCCATGACTACTGAGAGCGTATAGCTAGTAACAAGGACGGGCCGGGAGCTTTGTATGTCGCCCGCCATCCTGGACGCGCTGCCGGAGGAAGACCTGGTGCTCCTGGAAGTCCAAGCAGATGCGAACAACCGAGGCAGAGGGTTTGTTGAGAATACAACATCATGGTCTCAGTTGATTCCCCGTTGGACCACGGAAAACGGGGCACAAAAATGCACAAAACGCTCGGGCAAAAGACTGGGTCTCGGTCGGGTGTGGCCGTTCCGGCGCCGGGCTCCGGCCAAGCCAAACCCCCTGATGACCTGGTGAAGCGGGTGAAAGGGAAATGGATTTCCACCATTTTGTCCGTTTGGCTCCAGACCTGCGAGCTTTTATGACCCCGGGTCTCCACTGGCTTTGAGGACCAGTCCCTGAGTGGCTTTATGAAGCTGTGCGAGATCCCAGCTTCGTGGTGGCACAGAAGGTGCACGGGAACCGGATCTCGGTCATCGTGGGGGCATCCTTTTTGCAGAAGGCCAGGAACGCTTGGATGATGTCGGATCAGAAGGCCAGGATCTCGTGATGTTGGTTGGATTGTGTGGCTTCATCAAAAGGGTTCAAGAATCAACATCGGTAGACTCTCTTGGCCGGAAGTGACGTTTGTCTTTTGCTTCTGCAGAAGCCAAACGGCATATACATGCATATTACACAAATTGGATTAAGTTATTAGCATCCGTAAGAAAACCAAAGTTGTTCAACTCGGCTTAAGTAGGCTTATGTGCGGCACCCCCAGTTTCTGGGGCGGTATCGTCTTTAGAGTCTGTATAGCCGTACAAAGCGACTAGCGACCTTTTGCGTTTCATGATCATGGTCATGAACTGTTACTATACGATGCATGGGTCAATCTCGTCCACATGGATTGATGACTACGTAGTGCCGCGGGGGCGGATGAACTTGGCGTTCAATGAACCGATTTAGGTTAGATACATAGTACCAGGGGCCCTCAAAACCATGAAACATAGAGGTTTTCACATACCCAAACCAGTTATTTTCCTAGGGGAAACCAAGTTTTTGATGGTTCGTGGGGCCCCTAGTAGTGCATGGGATTTGGCCTGGACCGGGGAATGGCAGTTCGCACTGCTGCCCAGCCAGCCGCCCTGCCGTCGCCAGGTGGTGCATCAGCACTTGAGCGGCACGCAGCGCCGGCAGTTTGACCCCAATCAACTGGAGCAGCACGCGCCTGAAGCAGTGGTGCCTAAAGCAGTGGTGCCTGAAGAAGTGGTGCCTGAAGAAGTGGTTCCTGAAGCAGTGGTGCCTGAAGCAGTGGTTCCTGAAGCAGTGGTGCCTGAAGCAGTGGTGCCTGAAGCAGTGGAAGGCTCTCCAGAAAAGGAGGAAGAGTATGGCCGTGCTGCCAAAAAACGAAAGAAGAAGGCTTCAAGAGAGGCCTCTTCTGAAGAGACGGGCGATTTGGCCGATTTCTCCGACCAAAGCGAGATGCTGGAGTTGGATGCAGGCGCTGGTTTGTCGACCGAGGCCGAGGTGAAAGAGAAGGTTGCTGGGCTGCTCAAAGACTTGGAGCCCGAAGAGCTAGAGGGAGAGGGTGTTTGGCCAGCGAACTTCAAGTTCCCAAAGGGATATCCACCACCACCAGAGGTTGGAGCACTCGCGGATGCTGGACCATCCCAGTTCCCAGAGAATTTCAAGTTCAAGGCCGGCTACCCCCCACCACCCCCCGCTGAGACCGACGAGGAGCACAATGCGGTGTTAGCTGCAGTGGCTTCAGCTGCAAGGGCCGGCGCCCTGCCACCAATGACCACACAGGCCATTGTGGTCCCATCAGCCGTGCCTGGAGCACCGCCCATCATTCTGTCTACCTACCGAACTGCTTTAGAAGGTCTATCGCCCAGCCAGATTGCAGAGGCCCTCTCAACACCGGGAACAATGCCTGCCATCAGCAGCTTGCCACCAGCTTCTGCGCTGGTCGCTGCTGCTGTCAGAGCTCAACAAGCTCAACAAGCTCCGATGCTGCTAGCAGGTGCCAATCTGCTCATGCAGCCTGGCACCTTACAAGCTCCGATGCCGCCCCCAGCACCGCCATTGGGCACCTGACTCAAAGCAGTGACTGGCAACTGGACAGCACTGCCTTTGGGCACACATCACTTGTTGTATTCTCCCGTGCCATTCTGCACGCGGAGAACACAAAGGGCAGCGAAGGTTGCAAAGACGAGAGAAACGCCCAGGTTGCAACTCATCGGCCCTGAAACTCCCAGCGCGTTTCTGCCAGTTCTATAAGTTTATTGTATTGTAGAATGCCAATATATAGACTATGAGAGAATTATATATATATACATTATATACCTAGAAGCTGACGTCGACTTCTATTTGGACCAGCCACCCCCAGCAGCCAGCAGGGGTCCAATGTGTTCTAGGTGTGTATGTGTATATTATATACATCCGTGGAAGATGTGGTTGTGGATCGGGCACCCCAACCCTGGTTGCCCCCCAAAGATGAGCGGAAGAGACTACTGTCTACCGGTCATGTTTCGATTGAAATGGCTTGTACTATAGAATAGTATCCAAATCTATCCAAGGATGAGTGCAAGCTTGCTGGGGGGCGGTTTTTTTTTTCCCAACCTGCGGCCAGGCCACTACGCAAGAGAGGCAGCAGGTTTCCCTTGACCCAGCGCGGCTCGCGGGGACGGGGGAGGGCTGCGCTTGAAGACGGAGGAACAGCGAGTTCTAGGGATTCTAGGGCCCCCTCCTGGACGATATAGACACTATGACGCGCCAGCCAGGAACTCATTTTACCCGTAGATGTTCGTGACTACATGTGTCGCTATAGGGATGCTTGGTTAGTTTTGGGTTGCGTGGGGCGCTGTCGCAGTCGGTCCAGATATGCAGAACCCCCTTAATAGGTTCACAGGTTCACAGAGCATCACAGAGCTGGGATTGCAATGGAACTTCTGAGTAGTGGTGGCTTTAGATATCTTTGTGTGTTCAACTTTTACATTTGGGATGCTGGAATCCACTGACTATCTTTAATATTTGTCAAGTGAGTTGAAACCACCAACCATTGTAATTGGCCAGCGGTCTCTTCGTCTCTTCCCGTCTTCTTCGGGACGACCTTTTGTGGAATTCATCGGTTCTGGAAGGCCAACTTGCGGAAGGATGCCCGCATGTCGGGTGTTTAGGACTTCAGCTAGCCTTCATGCGATTGATTGACCCGGGTGAGTGAAAACTGACATGGACCTTGAAAACCACTGGAGGGTGGTAAGGACCAAAAAGCCAGGTGCCATTCGACCCGGGTCCATGGTGAGTTTGAATGTTGTGCCCCAAACGCGTGGTGGATGCGGGTGGACGGTGCCCCGAGCTCGGCTCCACAGCGCGCGGCACGGTGCCCAGAGCTCGGCCGAGCGAGGTTCACAAGCTGAAGTGAATCGCCACCGCTCAAGTTCCGGAATGACCAAGTCATGCTGCTAAAGAAGCGCTGGAACACATAAGAAGCGCTGGATGATGTTCATCTAAGTCTTTATCTCAATTGATCTCTGACTGGGCTGACTGGGGGTTGTTACCATCTTCCTATTGGACTGGCGAGCGGTGCTGTAGGCCAACCAGACTACTTGACTGGTGGAATCGGGCCCAAGTCTAACAACCACGACAGTACTTTACTTAAGCACCAAGAACTAATGGGTTGATCTTCCAGGATCTTCCCACAGGGAACGTGCTCAGAATCAACCGCGCCCCCGTTTCGCACAGCATTTCGCCGGGCGTTTCGCCTGCTTGATGGTGTCGATGTGGGTTCGGGCGCAGGCGGGGAGGTGTTTGGAGGAAGACCCCTGGCTTGGTGACCTGGTGAGAAGGAGCCGTGAGAACGAAATATGGAATAGACTGGACTTATTCCACAAGATGGAATCAATGCATTTTGCTCCCTCTTCAACCAGGCCAATGTAAGCAAATATGCCAGTCCAAGTCCATCCCAGTCCCTTGCATTTTTGGGGATTTGCTTCACCTGAGGACCTGTGGACCCTTAAAGGGGTGGAAGAGATGATCTGGATCAATGAATGCTTGACACCAAAGGGGCTGCAAAGCCCGGCGAGTACTGGAACATGTTTGGAAGTGTTGAGGTTTTGGAGAAGTACCTCTCGACTCTGCGGTTCTTCAGCGATGTTCTTTTTCAGCCATGAAGGGTTGAAGGTCATGACCAGACCAGACCTGGTCCTCGACCAGACCTGGCACAACAACTGAACGACTACGACTCACTCGACTCCAGGTGCTCCTGCTGTGTCGCCTGTGCCTGGCAGCCACCTGGGAATCAGCCTGTGAGACGAGCAGTACCTCAGACCAAGTCCGTCCCTGTCGAAGGAGTTCGTGCTTCGAACCGAAGCCGACGCGAGAAGAAGGGACCGGGGCGACCGGTCCGTAGGCTTTCCTCTTCGATGAAGCTTACTGTAAGACTTAGTGTAAGTACTTTGCGCTGTGCTGTACTTTAAGGTGACCGTACAGCCAGCACATGGCACATGACTGTAAGCACATTACTTTAACGGTTTACCTTACAACCCTAAGCAGTTGGCCTGACACCAGGACATGGCCCATTCGATTGGTGAACGTAGGTCGTAGGTGTGACGACGTGACGTGGAACCCACATGTGCCCCCTTTTCCTCGGCCCGTGCAGCTCAGAGTCCTCATCTCCCTCAAAACGGCGTTTTTGTCCCCAGTCTCGGTGCAAGCTGGTAAAGCTCTCTGATGATTGAAACATTAGCCGCTATTAGCCTTATTAGCCCAGATGCACCCAAGGCCCCCCCAGATGCACCCAAGGCCCTTCCCTCACCAACCCCCACCCCCCCCTTCTGGGGATGTGCCTGGTCCGAACAGGAAAAACTGTTTTCCAGGGTGGCACGTCGTTGGTTGGCTGCCTGGGCCCAGCCACTTTGAGGGGGGACCACAAGTGTTCAAGGGCTGAACCTCCTATGGTTCATCAGATTGTAGACTCACCCTGAGGTGAATTGAAACTTGTGAGTACGCCCTCAGCTTCACGATTTGAGAGTATGAATTCCAGGTACAGCAAGGGTTGCCAGATGTTGCCAGGATTGTTTGATCATTTTGGATCGGATAGGTCCTCAGATTTCCAGGTGATCAGCCACATCCATGAAAAGGGCTAAGTCATCCTAGTTGGACCTCAAGCCACGTTCTTTTGGCGCCCCATGGAGAAGCCGCATGACACGGCTGGCTCCATGCAGTTTCCACAACATGCAGTGGAAGAAGAGGTAGGGATCAGCGAGCACCTTGGCCCCGGGGTGCCGGGCTTTTCAGGTCAATTCAAATCACGCTGGCAGGACTTTCATGTCCATGAAGTCGACTTGGCAGGCATTGAGCTACATTTGACCGAACTCATAACGCCTGGTGCTGTTGCAGCGGAGCTGAAGAAGGAGGCAGAGGAGCGAAGAGAAGCTCGAAATGCCTTGGGGCCAAGCTTTTTCTTTGATTCAACCACTGAAGCTGCTGTTCATGATGCCATTGGCCAGAAGTATTCGCAAGAGCTCCTGGGCTTCCTGCAGGAGCAGGCTCCGCCCAAGAAGGAAACTCCCCCTGAGCTGCCTGAAGAGCCGCCTGAGAAAGCCGAAAGAAGAGACTTTTTGGATTTGATTGCAGCAGAGGTCAAGGATGGTTCCAAAGAGGCCAGGAAGAAAGCCCATGAGGTGATTCTCAGTTGTGCAAGTCGTCGACCTAATTATGCTTTTCTACATTAACTGTTCATTTTCATCTTTGATAGACCGCAAAAAGGTATACCTTTTTATGGCAGGACCCCTGGAAGTTTAAGATGCAATTCAACTTGGTCTTTTTCTATGTGGGTTGGACACATGAGGATTCTGAAGCATTTTGGAAGCTTCCTGAACACCGAGACTGTGGAGGCCAAGCCCGGCGAGGGAGAAGCTGGCACGCGTGTGATCCGGATCTGGATGCGTGAGGCGGAGAAGAAGGTGAAGACTTCGATGGGGAAGGCAGCACCAGAAGAGGGCAAAGGCACCCGAAAAGGAAAGAACAAAAGCAAAGGAAAGGGCCAGAAAGGTAAGGGAGACAAGGGAGTGAAGACACCTGATGCTGGCGGCGATTTCGGCGCCCTGCGCCGAGAGGGTTGGCCTAAAGACCGTCCGGAGTACTTGTACTTCCGCTTGTACAAGGAGAACTGCGACACCGGAGAAGCGGTCTCCGGCATTGCCCGCTGCGTGGGCCGGTCGGCGAAGCAGTTTACCTTCGCTGGGACCAAGGACCGACGCGCCGTCACCGTCCAGCAGATCTGTGCGTTGCTTGGAGAATGAAACTGCACGTGGGAGTCGTTCTAAGGTAAAGTTGGTCAGTAGGCGTCAGTAGGAAGTTGCTCAGGGAACCTTACATCCCCAAAGGCTCCAACTAGTGCTCCAACTATCTACTGGTGGTTGGGGTATAGCTTTTGGGGGGGTTTAACTACCTTCTAAGGATGTGGCTGGAGCCCCTGGGAATCATTCTTTGCCCTTCCTTGTCCGTTCTTGGTTTTGCATGATAGGACAGTTTGTGTATATACATCCTGTGGGGCTTTGCATCATCCGTCGCTGGGATCTCAAATCGGGCAGAGTTCAATACATCAATTGAATACCTTTGATAGATTGAGGACTCCGAACCCTGGAAGGGATGCCGTGCTTCGGGGGTCTAGACCCTGCTATGGAGGGTCCAAGGGATGGCCTCCAACCTACTAGCGACCTACTAGCGACCTCATAGCCTCCTTGCTCCGTTCGTAGCGATGCCCTTTGGTGACCGTTCGTCGCGTGCCCCGCACCGGGCCTCCACGGCTTCACTCCAGGCACCGCTTGCCCGCCGACCAGCTCCGGCGCACGGTGCTGCACCGCGGGTGGGACAAGCGCGTGCGAATCTCAGACCTGGAGTACCGGGCGGATCGATTGCGCCTGGGCCAACTCTCTGGGAATCGCTTTAAGATCCTCCTGCGTGAGGTTCCAGTTGACGCCTTGGCAGGATCGGGTCCGGCTGACCAGGTGTCCGAGAGTACCGTGAGCAGAGCCTTTGAGGCTGTGAGGACAGGAGGCTTCTTGAACTACTTCGGGTTGCAGCGCTTTGGCACGCGCCAAGTGAAGACGCACCAAGTGGGAGCGGCCATTATCGCGAGAAAGTGGGAGGAGCAGGGTGAAGGCAAACTGGTGTTGGAAGCTTGGGGCCTACGTAGCCGTGCCTTCCAATCGTAGAAGCGTAGCAATGGCCTGTTGGAG